GATATGTCATAATAATGAAACCTTAAAAACTAAAAATAAATACTAAAAAAGAAAATATATGATTAAAAATCTGGAAAGAAATTTATATTAAAAAATAAAAGAATGGAACTATACAATATGTAGTCTGTGGGCACTGGAGTCTGGTTTAGAATGTTTTCAAGGCTCATGTGTGCTGTAGCATGTAATAGGACTTCACTCCTTTTTTACGGCTGGGTAATATCCCTTTATATGCATATACCACATTATGTTTATCCACTTCACAAACCGATGGCCATTTGGCCTGTCCTCACTTTTTGGCTATTGAGAATAATGCTACTGGGCCGGCGCCACGGCTCACTAGGCTAATCCTCCGCCTGTGGTGCCGGCACACCGGGTTCTAGTCCCGGTCTGGGCGCCAAATTCTGTCCCGGTTGCCCCTCTTCCAGGCCAGCTCTCTGCTATGGCCAGGGAGTGCAGTGGAGGATGGCCCAAATACTTGGGCCCTGCACCCCATGGGAGACCAAGTCCTGCCATCGGATCAGCGCGGTGTGCCGGCCGCGGCGGCCATTGGAGGGTGAACCAACGGCAAAGGAAGACCTTTCTCTCTGTCTCTCTCTCTCTCTCTCACTGTCCACTCTGCCTGTCAAAAAAAAAAAAAGAAAAGAATAATGCTACTGTAGATATTTGGGTACAGGTTTTTTTGTTTATATTAGTTAACAGTTCTCCCAGCTTTTGCACCTAGAGGTTTCTGTGGTGGTCAGAAGGTACTTGGTATGATTCAAGCCTCTCTGAATTGACTGAGAGCTGTTTTGTGGTACACCGTATAACCCACCCTGAAGAGCAGTCCATACGGGCTTGAGAAGGGTGTGCGACTGTTCTGCTGTCGGAGGTGTTCTGTTCATATCTGATCACAGTGTTGTGTCAATCTGTTTTCTTTTGCTTTTCTGTGTGGTTGTTTGATGATCAAAAGCAGCATAGAAAGCCTGCAGCTTATTTATAGCTGTCTATTTCAGTTCTGTCAGTTACTTCATATGGTCTGGGATTCTGTTTTTAGGTGCATGTATATTTATAATTGTTATAGCTTCTCTTATAAAGTAATCAGTTGTGCTTCAAATTGATAAGCAAATATTGTATACTTTATAGTGTATACAATGTTGTTTAAAACATGTATATGTCATGGTATGGCTAAATTGAGCTAATGAACATGTGTCACTTCACATACTTACTAGTTTCTGGTGAGAACACTTCAAATCCAGCCTTAACAATTTTCAAGAATACTGTTTGTTATTATTAACTGGAATCGTTGTGTTGTATAATAATAGATCTCTTGAACTTATTCCTCCTAACTGAAATTTGTATCCTTTGGCCAACATAATTTTAATAACTTCTTGATAAAGTTACAGTTAAATGGCATTAATATACATTATTAATGTATATTAATTACATTAATGTAGTGTCTGCATTAATATAGTGTCTTTTATCTCATAGTAATTTTCAAACATATTTATTTATTTATCTGAAAGGCAGAGTTACAGAGAGAGAGAGAAATATCTTCCATCTGCTGGTTCATTCCCCAGATGGTCACAATAACCAGAGCTGGGCCAGTCTGAAGCCAAGAGCCAGGAGCACTTGGGCCGTCTTCTACTGCTTTCCCAAGCACATTAGCAGAGAGCTGAATCCGAAGTAGAGCAGCTAGGACTCAAACCGGCGCCCATACAGGGTGCTGGCACTGCAGGCAGCAGCTTTACCCGCTACGCCACGGTGCCAGCCCTCAGTTCTGACAGCTTTGCCAGCTTGATGTCTGCATTTGTGGAACAACAGACTTTTGAGGGTCCCTGCGCCAGATTTTTGTTGATGTTACTCCTTTGAATGTACATTTTAGCAGGGTCCCCCCCCCCTTTTAAATTATGTTCATTTTATTTGAAAGAGAGAAAGAGAGAGGAAGGAAGACGGGGGTGGGGAGAGAGAGAGAGAGAGAGATCTCATCCATTGTTTCACTCCCCAAATGCGTGCAGGAGCTGAGGCTGAGGGGTCGGCGCTGTGGCTCACTTGGTCTGTGGCGCCAGCATCCCATATGGTCACCGGGTTCTAGTCCCGGTTACTCCTCTTCCAGCCCAGCTCTCTGCTGTGGCCTGGGAAGGCAGTGGAGGATGGCCCAAGTGCTTGGGCCCTGCACCCGCATGGGAGACCAGGAGGAAGTACCCGGCTCCTGGCTTCGGATCGGCACAGCTCCAGCTGTTACTGCCATTTAGGGGGTGAACCAACAGAAGGAAGACCTTTCTCTTTGTCTCTCTCACTGTCTGTAACTCTACCTGTCAAATAAATAAATAAAATCTTAAAAAAAAAAAAAAAAAAGGAGCTGGGGCTGAGCCAGGATAAGTCAAGAGCCCAGAACTCCATCTGAGTTTCTCATATGGGTGGCAGAGACTCCAGTACTTGAGCCAACATCTGCTGCTTCCCAGATGTGCATTGGCAGGAAACTGGATCAGAAGCAGAGGAACCAGGGCTTGAACTAGGCATGTGGGCACCCAGCAGCAACTAAAGCTGCTGTGTTTTATCATCACTATTATTTTTTATTCAAGAGACAGAGACAGACAGGAAGAACTCCCTTCTGTCAGTTCACTCCCCAAATGCCTCCGAAGTCTGAGGCCAGAGCCAGGAGCTCAGTTCAATCCAGGTCTCCCACGTGGGTGTCGGAGGCCCAGTCACTGGAGCCCTTAGCACTGCCTCCCAAGGTCTGCATCAGCAGGAAGCTGGAACTGGGATCTGGGAATCAAACTCAGACACCTTGGAATGGTACACGGGCCTCCTAACTGCTAGGCCAAACAGCTGTCCCTGCAGTTATCATATAGAGCTAGGTTCCCTCTAAATAGAATAACTGTTGCAGGTGCCAGTAGTGATATATTTTCTTACCACTTTGTCAACATTTGTTGTTATAAATTCTTAATTTTTATGATTTTTAAAAAATATTTATCTATTTGAGAGGCAGAGTTACAGAGAGAGAGAGAGAGAGAAAGAGCGAGGGAACGGTTTTCCATATGTTGGTTCACTCCTCAAATGTCCACAACAGCCAGCGCTGGACTGATCCCAAGCCAGGAGCCAGAAGCTTCTTCCAGCTCTCCCACATGGGTGCAGGGCCCCAAGCACTTGGACCATCTTCTGCTGCTTTCCCAGGAGCATTAGCAGAGAGCAGAATCAGAAGTTTAGCAGCCAAGGCTTGACCCAGTGACCACATGGGATGTCGGCACCACAGGCAGAGGCTTAACCAACTACGCCAGAGTGCTGACCCCATGATTTCATTATTACTGAGTAATACATCATAGTCACATTGATTTGAATTTCTTTCACTTTATTTGAGTTTGAGGCCTTATTGAGTAGTGCCTGGTTTTTGCAAACTCATTTCCTTTGATTATTATACTTTCCTTTAAAACACTTGTTTATTTTATTTGAAAGATAGATTTAGAGAGAGATGTTTTTCATCTGTTGGTTCACTCTCCAAATGCCCACAATAGCCAGGGCTGCTGGGCCAGGCTGAAACCAGGAGCCAGGAGCTCTATCCAGATCTCCCACGTGTGGGCAGGAACCCAAATACCTGAGTCGTTATCCTGTTACCTCCCAGGCACACCAGCAGGAAGCTGGATCAGAAGTGCAGAGTAGGGGCCAGCGTGGTGGAGTAGCAGATTAAACGGCTGCCTAGAACACCAGCATCCCATATGGCCACTGGTTCTAGTCCTGGCTGCTCCACTTCCAATCCAGCTCCCTGCTGATATGCCTAAGAAAGCAGCAGAAGATGGGCCAAGTGTTTGGGCTCCTGCACCCATGTGGGTGACCTGGACGAAGCTCCTGGCTTCTGGCTTCGGCCTGGCCTGGCCCAGCCGCAGCTGTTGTACCAATCTGGGGAGTGAACCAGCAGATGGAAAATCTCTCTCTCTGGATATCCCTCTCTCTGTGTAACTCTGTCTTTCAACTAAATAAAAATAATTTAACAATTAAAAAAAAAAAGAAATCCTTACAAAAAAAAATATGTCCGAAGTAGCCAGGACTTGGAACTGGCCCTCTGATATGGGGTGCAGGTGTCGCAAGAAGCAGCCGAACTTGCTGTGCAGCAGTGCTGGCCCTGGTTGGTGAAACTCTAGCCTTTCTTTCAGTATTAAGCTTTCGTCTGTGTTGCAGTTTATCTGAACCAGGGCCTTATCAGTGGGGGATGTCTGTGTACATGACTGGGCACGGGCAGCCCCATAAACTTGAGGAGGCTTGTTGGACCAGCCTTGAGTCTCTCTTTTTTTAAAGATGTATTTATTTTATTTGAAAGAGTGGAAGTGACAGAGAGAGAGACAGAGAGACAGAGACAGAGAGATAAAGTCCATCCAGTGGCTCACTCCCCAAATGGCTACAGTGGCTATGGCTGGGCCAGGCCAAAACCAGGAATCAGGAGCTCCATCCAAGTTTCCCACATGGATGGAAAGGATCCAAGCACTTGGGCCTTCACAGGCCATTAGCAAGAAGCTGGATTGGAAGTGGAGCAGCCAGGACACAAACTGGCACCCACGTGGGATGCAGGCTTTGCAGGCAGCAGCTTAACCTGCTTTGCCACAACGCCAGCCCCTTGAGGTCTCTGTATCACTCATTCCTTCAGCAGAAATGCATCGATGCCTTCCTACCACATGCAGATCTGCTAGTACTTGGGAAATGGCAGGACCAGGCAGCCCTGCCCCAGCCCTTGTGAGCAAACAGCCATAGAGGGCATGCAAGCAGGTCATCGTCTCATAACTCAGTGTCTCTGCCGAGTTGTGCTAGTTTGGGTCTTATCTAGGGTTGTGTACATGCTGCTGTCCTTACACTTGCCCATCACATCTGAAGTAAGATGTCAGAGGATGCTGTCTTTGCCTCAGCAACATGACCTTGTGGTACCAGGATGCTTGGTCCTGGGAGTGGACCAGGAATCCCTCCAGGGCACCTGCAGGCCCAGGCCCTCCTCCCTGGGAAGTGTGGGGGTTCAGAACCTTTACTTTTCCTTCCAGCACAGACGGCCCACAGTGCACAAATGGCCAGGTCCCAGAAGACTGTGGCAGCCCTGCCTCAGAACAAAGGTGAGTGTCCCTCCGCCGTATAGAGCCCGCTCATAACCACAAACCCGGGGCTGAGGGATTTGCCACGCTTCCCGCCCACAGCAGTCCCAAGTTGCTCCCTCACCAGGTTGTTCCTCTCTTCACCCAGCGTGGCTCCAGGTCTGGGATGGTGACAGGCGGGCAGGGGCATCACGCACTCTGTCCTGTCCACAGGGATCCGGGCAGCCACCAACACGCCCATCCTGTTACCCAGCCTGAAGCGGGGTGTCCTGGACCACACCTTGCAGCAAGGGCTCCTCCGCCGCACCCGGCGGCTCTGCAGCCCCACTGCACCTCCAACCCCGACACGGCCCAAGAAGCTCAAGATGCAGGCGCCCGTGGACATGTTCCCCACCGACTGGAGCCCGCCACCCATAGAGTTCCTGAACCCGAAGGTGGTGCAGGCTGGCAGGGAGGACGCTGCGCAGAGGCAGCTGGGTGCAGCAGGCCCGCGAGAGTTGCAGAGTCTCGGCAGAGAGGTGAAGCAGGATCGCCTGGGCCCGGACCCGAAGGGGAACACAGCCTCACTGCAGAGGTTCTGGGACGTGGCAGGCCCAGGCCAGCCGGCTGTGGCAGCACAGGAGGATGACCACACCCCGGTAAGCCAGCAGCCGTGCCTTGGCCTCCTCTTTGGCAACCCCTTCCCAGTCGCCCCCAGGTTACCTCTTTTTTGCTGCTCTCTCAGCTCTTAGAGCCTTCAGGCTGAGGACACAACCCCAAGACCCCTTTGTTTCTGCTTCTGACCCCTGCTAACACATGAGTGGGAGTTGGGACCAAATTTGATGTCACTGCTGCGTGGGACGCCTCAAGGCTCGCATGGCTGAAGTTGGGATCATGGCCCCAGAACAAGGAGGAGCCTTGGTGCCATTGGGTTCTGGCACAGAGGCTCGGGCTGACTCTGGGCGTGTGGATGAGGATCCCTACGCGATGAACTTCAAATTGCGAGTCAACAACTGGTGCTAGCTAGACTGGGGACACTGATGGGTTGACAGATCCAGGACAGTTATTCTACAAATAGGGCTTTTATGGTTTGAAATAGACTGAGGTTGTTGATAACCTCAATGTCCATCACTAGGAAACTAATAACAGAAACTATGTTCTAGCCATATATCAGAACACCCTGCAAATGTTACACACACACACACACACACACAGAATCACATTGGCACTGATGTCATACAGGATCACAAGACATATGAGGGTACTGTAAGAAGGTTGTGGGAGGGGCCAGCGCTGTGGCTTAGTAGGTTAAACCTCTGTGGCACTGGCATCCCATATGGGCATAGGTTCATGTCCTGGCTGCTCCTCTTCTGATCCAGCTCTCTGCTACAGCCTAGGAAAGCAGTGGAAGATGGCCCAAGTCCTTGGACTCTTGCATCCACAGGGGAGACCTGGCTCCTGGTTCTGGATCAGCCCAGCTCTGGCTGTTGCGACCATTTGGGAAGTGAACCAGTGGATAGAAGACCTCTCTCTCTTTCTCTCTCTGTCTCTACCTATCTCTGTCTTTAACTCTACCTCTCAAACAAATAAAAATAAATAAAAATAAAAGTTCATGGGAAATGGAATTAAAAGATAAGTTTATTTTGGCACAAAAGATTTTTTTAAATCTGTGCATAGTTTTTCCATGGTATGTGTTTTTCATGAACTCTTTGAAGAACTCGTATGTTGATTGTTTTCTTTTTTTTTTAAGATCTATTCATTTTTTTATTTGAAAGGCAGAATGACACAGAGAAAGGGAGAGACAGAGAAAGATCTTTCATCCACTGGTTCACTCCCCAAATGCTCAGAACTGCTAGATCTCTACCAGACTGAAGCCAGGGTCTCCCACGAGTTTGGCAGGGGCCTGAGCACTTGGGTCATGCTCTGCGGCCTTTCCAGGTGCATTAGCAGGGAGCTGGATCGAAAGCAGAGCAGCCGGGACTTGAACTGATGCCCTGCTAGGGGATGCTGGTATTGCAGGCGGCAGCTTAACCCACTGTGCCACAATGCTGGCCTCATTATTGTGTTGTTAATTGAGCAGAGCAAAGTGCAGGATAGTGTGTAGAGTATGCTATTGTTTGTGTTGGAGAAGGATCTATGATACGTTACTGTTTGCTTGTCTATTTCTAAAGGCACCCAAGGAAGGGTCTGGGGAGGGAGATGAAGAGGTTTTATTGTATACATTTGTGGTTTTGATTTTTTAATTGTGAGAGTGTATTGCCTATTCAGAAAAAGTAAAATAAGGGCAGGCAGTTGACCTAGCAGTTAAAACTCAGGTTAAAACGCCCACATCCCGTACTGCACCCTTTATCAGAGTGCCTGGATTCGAATCCTAGCTCCACTCCTGATTCCAGCTTCCTGCTAATGCATGCCCGGGAGACGGCAGGTAATGGCTCAGGTTAGCTGAGTCTCTGCCGCCCACATGGGTAACCTGGATTGAGTTCCTGGCTCCCTGCTTTGTCCTGTCCCAGCCCTGGCCGTTATGGGTATTAGGAGAATAAACCAGCAAGCGAGAGAGCCCTCTGTGTTTCTATCTACCTCTCAAATTAATTGCTTTATTAATTTTAAAAAGAATGAAGACTTCAAAAATATTTTTTAAAAAGAATTTAGACTAATTATTTTCCTCCCCCTCCCTCCCCGTCTTATTTCTTTCCCATTCTCGTGTCCTGTCTCTAGCTCACCCCTGGGGGCTCAGAGAAGTATATCAACAGCTTGGATTACCTGCTGCAGGAGAAGAGGTGAGTGTGGGAGAAGACCCATCATGGCACTCACTCCTGTGGGTATGGCAGCGATTTCAGGACTCCCAGTGAACTCCTGCCGGAATAAAGCAGCCTCCCCCACCCAGGCCCAGCGTGCCCGTGTCATCTGATGAATAACCACATGGGCTGGTAGCCAGGTCCAAGGGTGGCATCTCCAAGGCAGAAGGCTCCCAGACCCCACCACTTAGGAAGCCCTCATTCCACCTAGGTTCCTCTCTCCACCTAGGTACCGTTCTGCCCAATTCATGCCAGTTTGGGGGTGTTCTGTTAGAGGGAAATGGAAAAGCAGGCAGCTTTGGGGCCAAGGTATACGACTTGACCATGGCCGTGAGTGTTATGCTGGATGGAGGAGAGACTTCCAGCACTTCCGGTGCCTGGTCCTGACCACGCACTGGAGCGGGCTTTGTTCCTTTTCTCCCAGCACTTTATCTGTTTCACACCTGCCTCTCCCTGCTAGAACAGCACAGCATGTAGGAGTCGGTTTCTAAAGGAGCTTCTAGTTAACTCCTCTCTGCCCATAGCAGCTTCGAAAGGCAGCGCCGAGGGCGGAAGCCCTGTGTGATCAGAATTGGCAATCCCTCAGGGAGGCGCAGGCGGTGGTGAAAGAGTAGCTGTTGCTCTGTGCAGTTAAGACACCTGGCGATGGGGCCGACTTGCATCAAGGGGCTGTGTTGGGTGACAGCACCAGATTCCTGCGGTACACAGTAGACACCTCGCCCTGTGACGTGCCTGGGGGCAGCTGCTTGTGTGTCTGGGTCATTCTCCTGGGGATGTGACATGTGCCGAAGTTAAGGTAGGGAGGGCACAGGGCTGCAGTGGAGCACTTTGGTTCCCGCCTCACTGCACCTGCCAGGACAGATGCTCACTCGTCTTTCTTCCAGGGTTGCCCAGCCCCATGCTCTTGCCTGCAGGAGAGAGGTAAACATATGTGTGGGCCAATTAGTTGATTTCTGCCTTTGTCCATCCCTGGCCCTCTGCCCACCCCAGAGTCATCTCATCTCCTCCATGCAGCTCCTCTGGGCCGTGTAGCCCAAGACTTTTGCTGTTCAGCTCCTGTACCTGAGTATATTCTCTCCCATCTAGATTGTAGATAAGGAAAGGGACTGTGTCTGTGTGCATCCCTGGGCTGTAGATACTTGAAAATGTTGGAGGAAAGCAAGCAGGAGGAAAGCCGTCACACCTGGCCAGTGCACCTGGCCTTGGGAGGTGCTTGCTCTGTCTTAGCTCAGAACACCACACACTCTGGGCTGACACAATAGTTATTTGTCACAGCTCTAGAGACTGGAAGTCCAAGATGAAGGTTCTGGCCCATTCAGGTCCTGGTGGAGAGAAACAGCAGCCAGCAGTCGGCTGCCTTCTTGCTGCGTCCTCTGGAGTCTTGTTTTATAAGGACGCTGATGCTATCAGATCAGGGCCCACACCCTGTGACCTCACTTAACCTTAATCACCTTCCTACTCCAAGTGCAGCTACACTGAGGGCTAGGACTTCAGCGTGCAACTGCAAACGTTCAGTCTCAAGCACTGTGTGTGGGCCCCTCTTCAGGCAAGGGATACGGTATGCAGCTGAAGGGGCAGCCCCTGGCCATCTGGAAATGCAACACAATGATTCCGGTCTTTGCCATGCTGTGAGGTTGCCACGAGGGGCCCAGAATAGTGGAGCTCGCTTCCCAGAGATATGCTTGTCCTTGAGCGTTGCAGGATACGGTGTTTTCCTGGTGGGGAGGGTGACGGCTCCTGTAAAGATGGCTGGGTCAGGACCTGCCGCTGCTCCTGGCCGCCCAGGATGAGAAAGCTCAGTGCTGTGAGTCAGGACAGCAGGCCAGATATGAGAGCTTTAAGCAGCCATGCTTTCCCACATGTTTAAGAAAAGGCACACCACTGCCTTTGCAGAATCGGACAGGAGGGGTGAGAGGGTAACAGCACTGAAGTGGGGCTGGGAAGGGGCCCATACCCAGGAGGTCCCTGGGAGGAGAGGGATGGGGCTGTTCCTGGGGCTGTTGGCCTGGGTGGCGGGATGCTGGAGCCTGTGTGTGGAAGAGGGATGCAGAATTGGACGCGGTATCTGAGCCTGCTCACTCTCTGCTGGAAGTCATACAGTTAGGATTGGAGCTCCTGGCTGGAGAGGAGGTATCTGGGAGCTGAGGGCTCCCAGGGTGAGCACCTGGAGGGGTGCACAGGGGCTGGGGAAGCTCCCAGGCTCCCTCAACAGCTTGTGGGAACCGGGACAGGAAGGCTGAAGGGTGCATTGGTCTCCTCTCTGGGTTTGTGGGTCAGGAGGTCAGGGCTCTGGCAAGACAATGGTGGGTGCACAGGGCCTCGGTGGATGCTGTTTGAAAAGGGAGGTGAGGTACCCAGCTGGTAGGAGAAAACCAAAGGCCTAAGGGTAAAAGGTAGGGAGAGACCAGGAATGAGCAGGGGCTGGAGGGCTGCCCTTTGTGGCGGCAGAGTCAGGCCAGGAGTCAGAGACACCCAGGAGCCAAGGGCCCTGGACTCCCCCCGTCGTGCAGCTGGGACCCAGGGAGAGCAGAAGAACCAGGCCCAGGCCTAGGTGTATGTTAGCATTCGAATGCCAGAACAAGGTGCGCAGATAAGCACACACTTGCGCTAAAACGCCTTCCTTCAGGCCTTTCTGCTCACCCGAGGCAGCACTGTTCACGCAATGCAACCGCCACCCCCAAACCCAAACTGGAGAGCCTTGGTGCAGGGAGGCCAGAGCTGCACAGCCTTCTGGTCCCTAGGCCTGGTCATGTTTCTGGGAGGGCGGGGTGGGGGGGAGCTGAAGCCCAGAGATAAGGCTGGACGCCCGGGGCAGCACTGACACTGGCTTTGGCTGTCTCCTCCCCGCAGGGAACAGGCCCTGGAACAGGAGCGAGAGCAGCTGCTCCTGCAGAGCTGTCTGGACCTTGACTCCTTGGATCTCAATGAAGATCAAGTGTCACTCACACCCGAGCACAGGTGAGGCCCAGGGGCTAGGCAGTCACCTCTGGAGGTCAGGGGCTTAAATGCCAACCCACCCTTGGCTCTGGACAGTTTTCTGCAGCCATCTGCGTACCGCTCGTGAGGACTAAGGCTGCCACATCCATTCATCCGTTCAGGAAATAGCCAGCACCCACTGTGCATCACAGTCTAGTGTGGGCCTTTGAGAACACAGAGATCATAAAACAACCTGCTCTGCCCCAATTATCTGCCCGGATCTCTTGGGGAAATACACAAACCCACAGTCTAGCAGAAAACTGCCTTTTAAGGGAAAATTACAGGCACGTGACATTTTCATCCTCCCCTGTCTGGGAAGAATAAGGTAGCTCTTGGAGTGCTGTCATCTGGGGCTCTGCCGGCCCTGATTTAATTGGGCCATTGGCTGGTAGGAGGGCTGGATTGATCTGCTCCGCGGAGACGCGGCGATGCCCGGGGACCACAATTGAATCTACCTTCAGGGTACGTTTTCCATCTGTCTCGGTCCTTTCAGCCTGTTATTACAGCGCCACGGACCAGGCAGGCTGATGCACCACTAAAACCTCTCTCACTGTTCAGGAGGCTGGCAGTCTGAGATCAGGGTGTCAGCCAGCGAGGGTGGGCTCCGGGGAGAGCCCACCTCCAGGCTGCACACTGTTGACTTTTTGTTAAGTCTTCAAGCGGCAGGAAGGAATTGGAGAACTCTCTGGGTTTCTTTTATAATCCCACTAATCCCACTCATGTGGGCACCACCCTCCTGATCTAGTCACCTCTCAAAGGCCCCACCTGAAAGTAATGCCATCACATTGGGGATAAGGGTCTGTCTTTCTTTTCTTCCTCTCTTCCTCCATTCCTCCCTTCCTTCCTTCTTTCCTTTTTTAAGGTTTAGTTGAAAAACAGGGTTAGAGAGAGGGAGAGACAGATAGAGAGATTGTTCATCCACTGGTTCACTCCCCAAATGGCCATAACATCCTGGCTGGGCGAGGCTGAAGCCAGGAGCCAGGAGCTTCATCCAGGTCTCCCACGTGGGCGCAGGGACCTAAGTACTTGTGTCCCCAGAGAGAAGTCATGGGGTCCTTGTCTTCATGCAAGAAAGAATTCAGGCATGAGACAGCAAAGTAACAAGGTTTTACTGGGGACATGGCATCCATCAGAATGGAAGGGACAGAGAGAGGGAGAGAGAGCGCCCAGTCACTCAGACTGGGGAAAGCAGGGTTACATAGTTAAATGGAAAGAATACGGCTGCAGGCCTCTCAGCAGAGAGCAGAGAGGAGAGCGCCATCTTTGTTTAGACTCCCGGTTTTTAAGGGAGTCTCTTTACCCCCTCCCCCTTCTCCAGGACAAAGGGTTTGTTGAGTGTAAATTAGGAAATTCCTTCCCAAGTTTGTTATCAGACGGGGGAGTCTTGCTGGTGCTGGGCCAGGGGGCTCCTCTAGGGTGTGTATCAGGCCAGGGAGTTTTCCCGTGGGGGAAGGGGGACCACCTGGCAGGTTCTCAGGGTCTGGGCAGGACTTTGAAATGCATTTGCAGAGCTGCTGTAGATGGCGGTTTCCTTAGGCCCTTTTCACACACATAGGCTGACTTCCTGACACATTTGAGGAGTGAACCAGAGGATGGAGGATTCTCTCTCTCCCTCCCTCATCCTCCCCCCCACCCACTTCTCTCCCTCTGTCACTCAGTCTTTCAGGGTTGGCATCCGGCCTGCAACAAGGTGAGCGTGGGAGTCCCTGTGTATAAATGACAAAGCTGTGAAACAATGAGGTCACTTGAGGAGCCACAACAGAGAAGAGGAGGGGTTCCGGGGTGCAGGGCCATGGCATTTGAAGAGGAAGCAGAGGAAAACCAGAGAGCAGAGCGCTGGGCAGCTGGAGGGTCAGAAACCACGGAGATCAGGGCGGTCAGCTAGCCTAGCAGTTACGACACTGGCATCCCACATCAGAGTACCTGGGTTTGATTCCCGGCTGCAGCTCCTGGAAATCTGACAACGCAGATCCTCGCAAGTATTCGGGTTACTGTCACCCACAGGGGAAACCTGAACTGAGTCCCCAGCTCCTGGCTTCAGGGACGCCTTCCCCTACCACCACCATTTGGGGAGTGAACCAGCGAATTGAAGTTTGCTCGCCCTCTTGCTCTGTCTCCCCCATCTGTCTCTCTGCCTTGCAAATTAAAAAGACAATAATAAAGAAATAAAAAGTCGAGATCACGGTGGCCTTGACCAGAGCAGCTCAGGTGGGCTGCTGCGAATAGGTTCATGGGAGGACAGGGGAGAAGAGAAAAATGGGGAGTGACCGGAGGCGGAAGTGGGATCAGGGTATGCTGGTGGCTGTGTTGTCTTTCCTTCTTGCTGTCTCTTTCATGGAGGAGGTAGTCCCATGTTTGGATGCTAATGGGCATGCCACAGGCCTGTGGAGTTGGGGTGGAAGGCGAACTTCAGGAAGTACATTCCAAGGAGGCCCTGGGTGGGCCACTGGAGAGGAGTGGCCTCAGCCACATGCCCTGGCTGGTCTGCTGTCCAGGCCCTGCTTTCTAAGCCCGCATGTATGAGGGGCCCTCAAAAAGTCTGTGGAAAAATACAATTACAAGGTAAGTTTATTTTGGTATAAAAAATTTTGAAATCCATACATCATTTTTTCATAGTGAATATTTCCTATGATCTTCTTGAAGACCCCTTATATAATTGGCTTTCAAAATGTTTTGCACCAAGATAAACTTATCTTTTCCGTGAACTTTTATAGAATTGTATATGTATATATGTCTACATGTATTTAAAAAGCAGAGCAACAGAGAGGGAGAGGGAGAAACAGAGAAAAGAGAGACACATCTTTCATCTGCTGGTTCACTCCCCAGATGCCAGCTACAGCCAGGGTTAGGCCAGGGCAAACCCAGGTCTCTAACATGGGTAGCCGGAACCCAAGTACCCGGGCCATCTTCTGTTGCCTTCCCAGGTGCATTAGCAGGGAGCTGGATTGGAAGGAAAGCAGCTGGATCTCAAACCAGCACTCTCATGCTGACCTTGTAAGTGGCGGCTTAACCCACTGTGCCACAAGGCTGGCCCCTCCGTAGATTTTTTTGAAGGTTTGTTGTGTTTAGGAGAGGTCCAGGCTGGGGTGGGTGAAACACTGACATATACTCTGAGTTAACAGCTGTGTCCAATTTCCTGAGTGACAACTTAGGAAGTGACAACCCCACCCTTCCTCGGGGACCCGTGTCGTTAGGGTCCCCCAATGCTTTACACTGTGAGTCTTGTTAGAGTAGCCCAGAGATGCCCACGTGCAGTGCCTCGGCTGGCCGTAGGCGTTTTTCTCTTGTTTTTCTAATCTCCTTCTGTTTACCACAATGGTCAACAGACTTTTCCTGTCGAGTTTTTGAGAGTAAATATTTTAGGCTCCAAGGGCCAGGCAGTGTCTGTGGCGGTGACTCAACTGTGCCGTGGCTGCGTGAAACCCCCCACGAATGACAGGTCAGTGGGTGCAGCCGTGTCGCAGCAGGGCGGCGTTGGCAGATGCAGGCGATGATGGGCAGCAGCCAGCTCACAGGCTGCGGTCAGCCTGACCCAACCTGGGGCGATCCCCGCCTCCAGACTGGTCGCAGTCTTCACTGTGGATCTGTGGATGTGTTCGGGTTGAAGCAGTCATCCCAGACAGCCAGAGAGAGGGCTCCTCCCACACTGCCCGGAGACCCAGGGGAAAGTTAGGGCAGAGTCACAGGCAGACCCCAGGAGGGCAGGTGCTGGTTCCTGCGGGCTGTGTTGGGAAGAGTCTGCCGGATGTGGTGGAACAGGAAAGCTGAGTGGAATCAGCAAGCCGAGGGCCACTGGGCCTCCCCCAGCCTGAGCGCCTTGGTGGCATCCTGTGTGACCGATCTCTCAGTTCCTGGGTTCTCCACTCACTGGATAGAAAGCCTTGGAATTAAACCTTTTAAAAATGCCCGAGCACGAATAGTAATTCTCACTCTTCACCTTTCTACCGTGTCCATCCAGGATTCTGGATGCCAGGGTTGGGTGTTTTGAAATCCCTGCCTGTGCAGCTGACTGAAATCACTGATCGTTGTCTGGGCACGTGATGTTTTTCCAGGGGTGCTCCGAGAAAGCCTCTTTGATGGCGGCTGCTTTGAGGTGGTGGTTTTGATGTGGAATCATTTTTGCTGGGACTCTTCAGCCTTCTGCAAAATAAAAAAAGCCTCACTGATAGACCAAGGCCACAGCCACTTCCATGCCTGAATGGGGCTGAGGAAGTGAGGTGTGGGGTGGGGGTGGGCAGGGAAGGGGTGCAGGTCAGGAAGGGACGAGGGGGAGGGCGGGGGCTACCCATCCTCTGTCAGACAGGCCGGCCTGTGTGTGTCATAACCGCTCATAGAAGGGACCCCTGGACATCCACAGCAGAGTGTCTGCCCATACTCAGAACTGGCTTGCATCTCGAACAGGCGCCATCCTAAGTTTTCTCCTTTCTTAAAGTCAAAAGACTGTGATGTGTGCTGAGACCGGGGTGGGGGTGGGGGTGGAAGTGGATGTCTAAATGACAGCGTCATCCTCCGTGCACAGGAAATCTTCAATTAGACTTGTACGAGTCATCTCAGAACTCCTAATAATGCACATGCATTATCGTTAATATCACAAAAGTCTCTTTGAGCGATGGTTTGGGGGACAGGGCTAGAATGCCTTCACAGCTGAGTCTGTGTCTTACAGACTTTAAATAACCCATTCACTTCCTCTTAACTGTGAAAGCAACGTAGGAAGCAATAGATACTGTACCTCTAACAGCGAAGACACGAACAAAACAGAAAATTATTTTGCCATTTGTGGGGTGGTTTGCTGAGACTGCTTCTAAAAGCCTACAGGATCAGAATTTTCCTGGATTTCCATCATTGTTCTCATTCATGGTGCCATTTCATCCTTAAGATGGCCCTGTGCAGTGGGTAGGGCCTCACCTTGGGTCACTTGGCCGATTTCACCTAGCCGACCTGGCTGGCCTGCTGGCCGTAGGCTCGGCTGGTTGTGGCCCAGTTCTGATGGGGACCAGGCTGCTGCTCTCCTGGTCTCCTCAGCTAATGGACCCTGCTGGGGACCTTGATCTGGGCTGTCTCCTGGTGAGACAGGAGGGCACCGTGTCTGTAGTGTTTTATTTTGTTGTCATTATTGCTGTGTGTGTGTCCTGTTGCTACAGTACCAAGCAGAGCAGCCTTATGAAGGAAACAGGAAATGCCTCTTCTGCTTCTCCCCTCCCCAATTGTTTCCTTTGGGATGACCCTAGATCTTAGTTGAGTGTATCCTATGTGTGTGGAGTATTGTATGTGCCTCTTACGTTTGAGTGTGTGCCTGCGTATACAGCACTCCTCCCCATCGATGGTTTTGTTTTCTGAGGTTTCACTCACCCACAGCTAGCCCTGTCCAAGAATATGACGGGAAGCCCAGAAATGAGCAGTTTGCACTTTTTAAGCTGGGTGTCGCCCTGCCGATGAGCTCACTCACTGCCCCGGCGCGTCCCACCAGGGACACGGAGCATCCGTTTGTGCAGCATTTCTGGGCTGTACGCACTCCCCACCCGTTAGTCACTTGGTGCCCTCTCGGTTATCAGATCAGCTGTCAGGACATCACCGTGCTTGTGTTAAAGTAACCCTTATTTTGCTTAATCACAGCCCCAAGTGCAGGATTCTTGATGCTAAAGAGAAGCCTTAAAGTGCTTCCTTTCAGGGAATAAAAAGAAAAAGAAAGAAAGCAAGCTCTCAACTCTTAACAGGGAAAGAAAAATTACTGTATACTGCAATTGCGAAGCTCCGCGGAAGAGCAGATCTGGCTGTGAAATTGTGAGGGAAGAAAGGGAACTCACGCTAGTTTTGCTGACACACCTCAAACTGCAGGAGGTGCATCCGCAATGCATAAGTGCCTGGATGAAATGGAAAAGGCGCTCAGTGATAGGGTTTGGTTCTATCTGTGGCTTCGGGCATCCACCGAGGGTCTTAGAACATATCTTATGTGGATAAGGGGATTGCCGTTTAGGTACAGACACATGGGCGCACAGATTCTTGTCATTTTCTCCCACACGTGTGCTGTGGTCAGCCGTCCACGCCAGTCCTATATCATGTAGGGACTTAGCTCATTCTCGGACATCGTCTCAACTGCCTCCATTTTTTCTACCCCCATTTCGGTAGGACGTGAAGTCCCAATGGTCCCCTCTCTGAAGGAGTTCCTTGTTCCTCCCCCACCCATGGCCCGGTTCAGTGCTGCTCCATCAGACTCTTGGGCGGGACAGGGCCCGAGGATCTGAATTCCAGCAGGCCCCCTGGGTGTCCTCATGATGGCTAGAGCTTGAGGCCTGCTGGCCCAGAAGGAGCATCCAGGCTCCCGCACCTACCCCTGAGACCCTCCCACTGCTTCGTGGTTCTGCCCATGCTGCCCCCTAGGCCAGCGCCTGCTCCCAGCACTCAGGATGACTTTCCTGATCCCAGATGCACCTAGCACTTCTGTCCCCTACCCATCAAAGCACCATGTAAGCCATCTTTTGGCCAATCACTGGCCAGAGGCATTGCAGTGGTTTGCTTGCTTTTCCTGGGTGGCTTGTGCCTGACTCAGCCTTCAGCACCTGGCATCACAGACATGCAGTGAAAGTCTGACCTGGCCAGAGCCAGTGGGTGGGGCTTGAGCAGGAACCACGTCTCCTGGCCCTCAACTCCTGCCCTGAGGGAGGCATTGGACACCCTGACAGAGTGGCAGAGTGGGGGCTCCTCAGCCTGTGTCTCATGGTCTCCTCCTCCATCAGCTGGCGGCACTGTCCCCCCTGACCTGCAAGGGAGACCACAGAGCAGGGGTGCCCGGCTCCACCTGGCTTTCCGTGGGGCCCCCTCCATGCTGCAGCCCCCGGTGCTCCTCTGATCCCCACTGTCCTGCCCCTTGCTTTGCCAGGATGCTGGTGGAGAAGTTCTCCGTGTCGCTGCAGGCCATCCCATCAGTACATCCAGGAGAGACCGTGTTTCTGCCTAGACACCACCCTCTGCCCTGTGCCCTGGACTCCTCACAAATGGAGCCACACAGCCACCTGGAAGGGCTGTTTCTCAGGTGGGTGTGCATGGGGTCAGGTAGAGGGAGTGGGCATTGGTAGTCAGGGCCCCTTCCTCATGGATCCCAGGGATGGGAGCCACTCAGGGGTGGGCATTGTGATGCAGTGGTTAAGCCACTACTTGGGCCACCCACATTCAGCTTCCAGGCCAGCTTCCTGCTGATGCGCACCCTGGGGGGTGGCAATTAATGGCTTAGTTCCTGCCACCCACGTGGAAGACCTGGGTAAAGTTTCTGGCTCCTGGCTTTGGCTGTTTTGGGCATTTGGATAGTGAGCCGGCAGATAGACCATCTGTCATCTGTATCTCTCCGTGTCACTCTGCCTTTCAAATAATTTTTTAAATTATTTTTTTGAAAGGCAGAGCAACAGACAGACAGACAGACAAGCAAAGATCTTCCATCTGCTGGTTCACTCCCCAAATGCCAGGGCCAGGCCATGCTGAAGCTGGGAGCCTGGAACTAAGTCCTGGCCTCTCACGTGGGCGGCAGGGAACCAAGTCCTGGAACCATCACCTGTTTCCTACCAGGGTGTTAAGCATTAGCAGGAAGATGGATCAGGGGCAGAGGTGGGACTCACACCAGATTTGGGACATGGGAGTCCCAAGTTGGGGTTTAACTGCTGTACCACAGTGCCTGTCCCCCAAAATCAATTTATTTTTTTTTTAAAATGGTCACCCTAAATAAGGAAATCCAAAGTGATGTTTTGGCCAATCTTCACATGTCAACTTTTAGAAATGTGACCATAGTTGCATGTATGTGCTTACAATGTTTAATGATTTCAATGCCTATCCTTTAAAAATCCTACATTATTGCAAACACCCAGCCGTGCGTTTGTGTGTGCATGTTGCTTTCTCATCCCCCGTGCCGCGGTTTCCTGGAACAGTCTGAGTCAGACTGGTCCTGTGGGTCTCCATCAGCGCAGGGGCCTCTCTCTGGGCCTCCCAGAGCGTATGATGGTCACTTCCCTCTGTGGTAGTCCCCCCCGCCACCGCTGCCCACTATGCATGGTTTCCTAGTTTCCTGCAGTTTCAGTTAGCCACAGGCCAAACACTCGCAATCCAAAAATACTAAATGGGCAATTCAAGGGATGAGGCAGTTCGTAAGTTTTAAATGGCAGGCCATTCTGGGTAGTGTGATGAAATTGCCGTGGGCTGAGTTAGCCTAAAATTAATCTCTCTCCCTGACGTGTCCCATATCAAAATCTCATGCCATGCTGCTCCACTCTGCCCCAGACATAGCCCCTCCGGTTGTACACGGTACTCACACTGTAACCACCACCGTCTGCCAGTCACTCCGTAGCCGTCTGGGTTATCAGATCAACCTCCATGGTACTGCAGTGCCTGTGTTCAAGTCGCCCTCATTTTACTTCTTAACGAACCCCAAAGCACGAGGATCCTGATGCTGGCAATTCACCTACGGCAAAGGAAAACTGTAAATGCTTCCTTTAAGTGAAAAGGTAAAAGTTCTCAATTTAATAAGGAAAGTAAGGGGCCAGTGTTGTGGCGTAGCAGGTAAAGCTGCCACCTGTGGTGCTGGCCTCCCACAGGGGCACTGGTTCATGTCCCAGCTACTCCACTTCCAATCCAGCTCCCTGCTAATGCACTAGAAAGTAGCAAAAAATGGCTAAAGTGCTTGGGCTCCTGCACCCACGTGGGAGACCTGGAAGAAGCTCCTGGCTCCTGGCTTCAGCCTAGCTCAACCCTGGCCATTACGGCCATCTGAGGAGTGAACCAGTGGATGGAAGAGCGCTCGCTCTCTCTCTCTCTCTCTCTGCCTCTCCCTACCCTCTATAACTCTTTCAAGTAAATAAATAATTTTTGTTTAAAAAAAGGGAAAGAAAAAACTGTATGTTGAAGTTGCTGAGCTCTATGGAGGAATGAATCTTCCGTGATATTGTGAAGAAGGACATAGAAATTGATGCTGTTCTTGCAGTCGCAACTCAAAGTGCCAAAATTAGGGCCAGAATGCATGATAAGTACTTAGTTAAGTTGGAAAAGGCATTAAATGATAGAATTGGCACTCTCTGCTGTTCTGAACATCCACTGGGGGTTTTGAAACACATTCCCCACGGATAAGGGGGTTGCTGTATTTGTTGGAGACACAGCTCTCCTCTCTTGCATTGATGACAATGCAAGAGTCCGTCCCCAGCCCCAGGACAGCTGCCCTGTTCCACTTTTCTGGAGTAAATTCTGAACAGTATCACGTAACCACTGAGTAGGTGGATGAGTTTTGAAAGATTTACCACGTTAATATCCAATACTTGCAATTATGAGCTAATGCATCCAAGAACAAGAACAAGAAGGAATCTTCAGGATCCAGGGCAATGGCTGGCCAGACTAGCGCCCTGCTGGGTTGGTTGTCAAGGGGATGGAGAAGGGGCCAGCCCACTTGGAGAGAAGCACAAAGGTGGGGCTGCTTCTATGGCCTCTTTGGCCACATCAGGACTTAAAACACAGGAGTTAGGGCCCGGTATTGTGGCATAGTGGGTTAAGCCACTGCCTGTGATGCCGGCATCCCATATAGGCACCTATTCGTGTCCCAGCTGCTCTACTTCCAATCTAGCTCCCTGGTAATGTTCCTGGGAAAGCAGTGAAAGATGGCCCAAGTGCTTGGGCCCCTGCACCCTCATGGGAGACCTGGAATAAGTTCCTGGCTCCTGGCTTCAGCCTGGCCCAGCCCTGAGTGAACCAATGGATAGAAGATTGTGTGTGTGGCCGGCGCCGCGGCTCACTAGGCTAATCCTCCGCCTAGCGGCGCCGGCACACTGGGTTCTAGTCCCGGTCGGGGCGCCGGATTCTGTCCCGGTTGCCCCTCTTCCAGGCCAGCTCTCTGCTGTGGCCAGGGAGTACAGTGGAGGATGGCCCAAGTGCTTGGGCCCTGCACCCACATGGGAGACCAGGAGAAGTACCTGGCTCCTGCCATCGGATCAGCGCGATGCGCCGGCCGCGGCGGCCATTGGAGGGTGAACCAATGGCAAAGGAAGACCTTTCTCTCTGTCTCTCTCTCTCACTGTCCACTCTGCCTGTCAAAAAAAATAAATAAATAAAATTTAAAAATAAAAAAAATAAAAAAAAGAAGATTGTGTGTGTGTGTGTCTCCTTTCTCTGTCTCTGTAACGCTGCCTTTCAAACAAATAAATGAATCTTTAAACACACACACACACAAGTCCTCATCTCTTTCCTGGCTACTTAAGGGCTTCCTTATGTTTATTACATTCCTTCTAAGTCCATCTTACTTTTTAATATAAAGATTACTCTTAATGTTTTGACATATTTCCTTTATAGGTGTCTCTCGTGGCATATCCTAAGCACATCTAAAGGCAGAGTGAGCTGTAGGATGTACCCCTGTGTACCCATATCTTACCTTCCACAAGGACCGGCTCAAAGCCAGTCCTATCATGGTCTATCCCTTCCCACATCATCTCCTTAAGACTGCCTAAACAAATCTGCTAACACATAACTTAATCTGTAAATATTTCAGTTTGTGTCTCTAAAGCCTAGGACTCTATTTTAAGTGTAACTTTAATATCATTATTACACCCCCAAAATAGTAATTTATTTATTTGCATTTTATTTGAAAGGCAGAAACAGAGAAAGAAACAGATGCCCCAACAGCCAGGGCTGGGCCAGGCTGAAGCCACAATGCCACCTAAATCTGGACCTCCCAAATGGTAGGCAGGGACCTAAATAGTTCAGCCATCATCTCCTGCTTCCAAGGGGGCACATTAGCAGGAAGCTGCATCAGAAAGAAGTGGGAGAGCCAGGACTTGAACCAGGCATTCCAGGATGGGATGCAGGCATCTCAAGCAGCCTTTTAAGTGCTGTTCCAAATGCCCACCCCTAATTTCTTAGTGTCATTTGTATAGGTCAGTGTTCAGACTCCCTCCATTGTTTTATAATTTTTTTAGAATTATTTTATTTATTTGAAAGACAGAGTTAGAGAGAGAGATAAAGCCAGAGAGAGAGGTCTTCCATTCCGCTGGTTCACTCCCCAAATGACCACAACAGCCAGAGCTGGGCTGATCTGAAGCCAAGAGCCAGGAGCTTCTTCCAGGTCTCCCACATGGGTGCCGGGGTCCAAGGACTTGGGCCACCTTCTACTGCTTTCCCAGGTCATAGCAGAAAGCTGGATTGGAAGAGGAGCAGCTGGGACTTGAATCGGCGCCCACATGGGATGCCGGCACTGCAGGCTTGGGCTTTAACCAACTGTGCCACAGCGACGGCCCCTATAAATATTTTTGTAAGTGGTTTTCATCAGGATCTGAACAGATCCAAACACTGCAGTTAGACAATGTGATGCCAAAGGCGAAATACTAGTGCAGGGGCTAGTGTTGTGGTGCAGTGGGTTAAACTGCTGCCTGCGGCACCGGCATCCCCTATAAACACCAGTTCAACTCAAGGCTGCTCTGCTTCCCATCCAGTGTCCTGCTATTGTGCCCAGGATAGCAGTAAAAGATAGCCAAGCACTTGGGCCCCTGCCACCCACACGGAAGACCCAGATGAAGTTCTAGGCTCTTGGCTTTGGCCTGGCCCAACCCTGGCCATTGCAGCCATTTGGGGAGTGAACCAGCAAATGGAAGATCTCTCTCTCTCTGTATCTCTCCCTCTCTCTTCTGTAACTCTATGTTTCAAATAAGTGAATAGACCTTTAAAAGAAGGAAATACTACTGCACTGTATTGCTGCTCTAACGCATTTTACTATTCTTATTTTTTTGGACATCTATGTTATTTCCAGATCTTTTGGACAATGTGGTAGAGAATATTCTTATACATAGATATGTATCCGGAGGTTTAGAATATACTTCTAGCTGTGATGTGAGATCATTCTGTCTGAGATATCACCATCGAAAAAACTTCACATTGATGTATTGAAAAGGCAGTAATTAAAGAGATGATGCAGGCTGGGCACTTGGCCTAGTGGTTAGGATGCCCGCATCCCACATCAGAACCACCCAGTTTGATACCCAGCTCCGGCTCCTGACTTCGGCTTCCTGCTAGTGC